CCATGAAAGGTCTTTGCAGACAGATCCTGAAAAGAGATTTGGCAGGATTTTATTTCCAAACATAAAAAACAACAGAAACAAAACCAAAACAAGTTTCTTAGAATAACGACTAAGCCATAGTAGTATGGTGTCCAGAAGATTAAGACACTCCATCTGTGAAGCACTTAGATACTACAATGATGGGCGCAATAGAAAACCCCCAAAATAGATAGATATGGTAGACGGCTTGACCTGTGTAATCACTGTGATCATTTAACAGCAGTATTTGAACAAGAAAGAAACCGTAGAGACTGGCAAGAGGCTAGCACACAGGAGAAGAGGAGGGGTGGGATATTCATAGACCTATAAATTGCTCCTAATAAAAATAAATTGAGGGATTTTCTGCAGCTTCCCAGCAGTAAGGCCCTGATCCAAAGTCCTTTAGAATCAATAGGCATCTTTGCACAGACTTCAATGGCCTTTGGATCAGGACCTAATTATATATGAGTCAGTACACTGAGTCTGATCCTGCAGCCCTTGCTGTCATGAATAATATTGATACAAGTAATTCATCTGACTTCACCAAGACTATCAAGTGAGGAAGGGTTGCAAGATCAGCACTTAAGCAGTAACGAATTTGGCACAGGACATTTCCTAGAGATTAATGACTGGCTGGGAATAGTTGATGGCCTGAAGCACAGCCAATCATTAATCTTAATCCCCAGGAAATGTCCTGCTGCAAGGTCATTATTGCTATAATAAGATCAAAATGGGGAAAAAAAATCAATGCCACATTGATTTTGTTTTAGTGATGCAATTTCAATTGCTATGCAGAGATCATTTCTAGCTAATGAAAGTCCTGTACACTTGCCAGACAGAGTGGTTAAACTGATAGCAGTGAACATCTACACTATGGCCAAGATTTTCAAAAGCAGAAGCCTAAATTAGGCTTTTAAATCCATATGTGGAAACCTGCCTGATTTTCAAAAGTGCAGAGCACTCAACTGCTCCCACGGATCTGAGTAGCTGTTATTAATTATTATTATCATTTGTATCAAACCCACATGTGTGTTAAGCACTTCGCAAAACATAGAGTCGGACAAAATTCCTGCCCCCAAAGACCTTACAATCTAGAATTCAGACACGACACAACAAGCAAAGGTGACAACGAACTGGAGGGAAATGTGAGGAAGGACAGGATAACATCAATAGAATCATGTGGTTGTGACTAATAATTCATGTATATTTTGTTGTGAGTAAAAACGGCTTTTGTTATTTTTTTAACATGTAATTTATTTCTTGTTTTCTTCCCAGAACAAATGAAGTTTTAGGTGTCTGAACAGCTAATAGTGGTGGCTTGACAAGTGAATTATTCAAGAGTGAATACTATTAACTATTTTCACTTACGTACATTAGGTGCCAAGGCAAATATTAGGTCACATAGGTCAAACTAACTTTTTTTACTTAATAGACCAACTCTGTATGTGCATTCAGACCCACATCTGCTGACTTTAGTGACAAAAAATAAGATTTGACTTCTTTTCACTCTTGGTAGCCTTACAAAGCCATCAGATGTCTGGGAGAATGGGCTGGATTCTTTTCTGGCACATCCATTTTCTACACATTGTTTACTGAATTATAAGTGCAGAATTTTTATTACTGATGTTGATATATGAGCGAGAAAAATAAAATAAAAACATGTCTTGATTTTCTAGTTCCAGTGTGTCAATGTTGTAGTTTAATAAAGATCTGTAGAACTCTCCATGTGTCTGCTTTACAAACCTCTTGGAACGCAGAAGATCTGAAGCCCTGAGACGGAAGTGTCTCTCTGAAGAAGTTTGAACATAAATTTGGGTAAGCCACAGCAACGGAATATGAAATCAGATAGTTATTTTCACATGCTTCTCCCAGACACAGGCTAAACAGTCATTACTATATTTATGGGCAAACCAGGGTTAAAATCCTTGTCCTATTGATGTCAATGGGAGTTTGATATTTGCACATGCAGATAGTCATTATGGTGCCTAACTTGTCATCTGTACATTAAATTAGTGTGGTCTATCACAGTAATTACATTTGCAAATGTAGGCATGCACTTCGCAGACATTTTTGCTTGTGCAAGTAGGTTTCTACTTTTTGAAAATTTAGCCCACTGTGTCTCTATTAAATGAAACAAAAAGGTGAATAGACTTTCTAAGAAATCCAGTTGGAAGCCAAGAGACTGTTCAATTTCAATTTGTAAAGAAAAATCATGCCAGGATGGACATGAAGGCATGGAGGAAAACATGGGAAAGGTGACAGAGATGGTGGAACACTGAAGGAAGCTTCCTCGGATATAATTTCAGATTACTGCAATAACCACTAAGCAACACTGTATTAAATAGTATTGATAAATGCTTATTTTACTGACATAGATTAACTACTATATACAGCCAAACATTATTGAGTTATTTGCTATTACATTATCTGATTTTTAAAAGAGCTCAGCACCTACTGCTCCCAAATTAGAACACAGATTTAGAAAGCTCTCCTTCTGAGACTATTCTAAATGAGAGGATCCTAAGTTCTTCTTTGATACATGTTATATGGAGCAAGCCTTGCAATGGGGAAGAATCATGGACAATGGTATATAGAGGAATCAGCTAGGCCTGGCAAACATATGAAGTAGGGCTAGGCAAACAGGTTCTAGATAAATAAAAACTGGATGATCATCAATCTTACTTCTGAATCTTTGTTGAGGCCTGTATTTGGGTTCAGTTAAGAAGTCCATGTGACTCCTTCTCCTGCCACAACCTTCCAATTTTCCCTTGGTCTTCAGTCTCTCACTAAGGCCCTCCCCTGTTGACTGGCTCTCCCTAACCCACTTTTCTGCAGCAATCTATGTAGCCTCTCGTAATTCCTACCTTTAAAAATGAGTTCAGGAATCCCATTTGTCTCTAGTCCCAGGTGCCTCCACTTTGCTGTATGTTCTAGCATGTGATGTGATTGGAATAGTTAAATCAGAGTGTGCAGTAGCACAGATGCAGCTAGGGACCTACAAACTTATCTTTAAGGATGGGAGAGGAAAATGGAAGGGTTGTGAGGAAAAAAAGAGAGTTTATAAACTGTGGTAGTTGATATATCAAGTTTCTGGAGGATGGAAGGCCTGCCTCACTGGTGGGTGGAGATAGGACCTGAGTTGGGATTGGGAAAGGAGTTGCAACATTGAGAATATCTGCTTGCTTTGATATTAATAGATTCATATCTATCCTCTTGTATGGTTATTCAGGTGAAGGATTCCAAGTGGGTTGCTCCAATATGTTTCCTATGAGCCAGTTTACTAGTTATGATAATAGGACTGGGCACAGTCTGGACTGACTGTATGCTACTTAAAGGGGCAGACTTCGGCAGTTACATAATGCAGCATCTATTAAATGAAGAAGTGCAGCCTCAGTTACATCAACAGAGAGAACCACAGGGCTTCTCTAAGACCAAAAGCAGTAGAGGCTGCTTTCAGGTGGATAGGGTCATATGATTTGTGTTCTTAGTGTCCCTGTGGTAATGGTATAATTCTAACAAAAATCATAGCCATATTTTTTTGGCAGATTAAAGCAACAAAGGGTTTGGATTTGTACTACAAACCTTTCTGAGTGCAGAATTAATGGTGTGGATAACAGAGGAGCTAAAATATCACACTTTCATTTTGCATAATGAGTGTTAACTTGCATGTCTGGAGAGTGAAATGGAAAGGGAGATTTACTGCTTCAGAGAGATGCAGAGCTGGGTTTATTTTTTTATTTTTTTTATTGTGTGAAAAATGTTTGCAATTTAAAGACATACCTAGTGAAATCTGATTTCTTGGTATGTATCATGAAAAGCAATTTAAATGTATTAGGGTACTTCATATATTTTATAATCACTCAAGTTTGGAAGTGATCAGGGCTTTCAATATTCTTAGAGATTTAGGACCATTTGAGCCATTCACATCTTTTAGGAGGAATTATAACTTTGAAAAACACATGATTGCAGAAGACATACCTTATTGCAGCAGGGAAAAGTCATGTAATCGGAACACACACTTCACAAATAAATACCTGGGTTTGGATTTTTGGAAATCCACCTGAAGGGAGTGGTGGACAAGGTGACACTCAGATTCAGACCAAACCAGTATATAGTTATGTTTTCCATCTAGAGGATCACACAGTGAACACATTACTCGGCACTTTGATAATATCAGCAAAAGTAAGTGCGTGTGTGTGTGTGTGTGAGAGAGAGAGAGAGAGAGAGAGATGTGTGAGTGAGTGAGAGGGAGATGGAGATGGGGTGGATGTGTGGGAGGGCTGGGGGGAGGAGAGAGTTGCAGATCAATAATGGCTCTGAGTTGATTGTGGATAATCGCATTCTATCTGGTCTCAGTGAATATCCATCCAAAGCCAAGATTGCAATGTTTCAAAGTTGTCTACATTCCATATTACAAGTTAGTTTCATGTTTAGCATCCGATGAAGTGAGCTGTAGCTCACGAAAGCTTATGCTCAAATAAATTGGTTAGTCTCTAAGGTGCCACAAGTACTCCTTTTCTTTTTGCAAATACAGACTAACATGGCTGTTACTCTGAAACCTGTGATATACTGACATCAAAGCTAAGAATGGAAAATTGACATCCCACACAAGTAGCAGTAAAAAACATCTTTCTAATTTTTACATCCCTGCCCAACATGAACTCTGTTCAAGCCCAAACTAGACAGAGAAAGAGAGAGAGAGAGAGATAGTACTTATAGTGCATCCACCAGACAGTCATAATTATTATTGGTATTGCAGTGAAAGCAATCCCTATATGTCACAGTCCTTCATGGGACTGTGTATACTTTGGCATTAGAGTGCAAGCCCTCTCTCAGAAATTGCAAACAACAAAAAAACCAAAACCAAGCAAACCAAAACCAAAAAGAAAGTAGTTCAGGTACAAACAACATTCTTGTGAATAAAAGGGAAAATCTTTTTTTGTTTTATACAGCAGAGAAAGAAAAAAAAGTTATTGGGATACCTTCGGCAAGTGGGTCAAGCGTGTGAATCATCAGCTGAAAAATGCTGTTTCTCATTAGACTGTTGTGGAGAGATGCAGAGCTCCCGCCTCGCTGGAGCCGTGGCTTGGTCTGAATGAAAAAAAGAAAAGGAATTTAGCCTTTTCTTGAGAATGGATCCAGTTACACTATGAGTTGTATTCATCTCCGAGTGAAAAAATTTCTGATTTCCACTGGTCACATTTTGTACTAAGCAATATCACGTATACACCCCCTTTCGCCCCAAAGGATCCACTGGTCATTCATCAGTAGACTGGGACTCAGGAGATGTGGGTTCAATTCCTGGTTCTGCCACAAACTCCCCCTGACTTGTTGGGCAAATCAACTGACCCCTCTGACTTTGTCCAGCCTAGGATTTAAGGGCGTGTTGTTAGAATGTGTAACTAATATGTTCTAAAAGTCAAACATAGACAAGGCAGTGTAGACGTTGTGTGCTAAATTTGTAAAGTTAAAACCTAGGGGGGATTATTTTATGGGAGATAAAGAGCAGCTGACAGTCATGGCAATCTTTAGTTTCACTGTGAAACCGTTTAGCTCTGTCCTGAAGTACACCAGCTTCTCATTTCAAATGCCTGCACTCCATTACAGACCATTAGATATCCTCAAAATGATGTAGAAAGGTAAAAAAAATCCCCATCTATATGATAGCATCTTAGACAGGCCTTAAGTCAGTTATAGTAACAATGTGTGCCTCTGCCTATTGTTTTCCATCAGATGCTGTTGGCAAGGTTGAAGAAAAAAAAGGACTTTCAGAATGATGATAAATAATGTACACACATGTGCACGCACAGACACACAAAATAATAGAGCGAAAAAATAAAAGATCTTCAATACGTTTTAACAGGCTTATAAACACCTAGAAGAGAGTTTCTTTCCTGTGCCGTTGTACAGCCATAAGATTCTTAGAGAATACAGCCATTTTGTGGATGGCAATGTTCATAAAACATTCCATTTAGTTGAATAATAAATAATAATCAGGACCAACAATTTGTAAAAACTAACAAGCCCCTGCCAAACCGATTAAAAAAAAACAGATGAAGGAAATAGTCTGTTTTCAGTTAAAGCGTCTACAGGGCACATACATTAATTCTTGGTGCCAAATGAAAAATTATAGAAACTGAATACCAGAATTAACTTGTCACTTTAACTTTGGAACTTAATTATTTTTAATTGTATAGCAGCATTGGGGGTGGGGGAAGGATGATAGCTTATTAAAATGCTGAAGTGTGCCAAAGCAAAGTAAGATTTGTCTCGCCCACACCTTCCAGAAACAAATGCCCAGACATAAAAATATAAACTGGCGCCTACCGTCAGTGTTTGGTCATCCTTGTCCCCAGCATTAGGTGGCTGCTTGCACAGGAAAAAAAAAAAAAAGAAATGTTACATGGCGCCTGCATACATTGTCGAAGAAGAACATTAAACAATGGAAGACACAGTTAAACAGCATGTACTTGTGTACTGAGTGACATAGATTCTATGGGCTACAATGTGATTTCACAGGTCTCGAACTATGTGATGTTAAAGACCTTAAATATTCTGTAGGTACTAGGTAATAGGGGATTCTTTTGAAAGGTTCAGGCTGAAATGCTCCTGAAACCTCTTATCATTGGCTACATAATTTGCCTCTCACGTGTCACTGAATTTCAGGGTCTCAATTATAGCCTCAATTATATATATTATATAATTATAGTGGGCTAAATCTTGAAATCCTCATTTTTTTATACAGTCTTCAGTGAGGCAAACTCACATGGGCTTTGATGGGAGTTTGCCTGAATGTTGAGTGCACTAAACTCAGTAAGATCATCAGGGTTGGATCATTATTGATAATGATTCCAAGTGATGATCCTGATATCTTAAAAAAAAAAAAAGATGTTCTGAGTCATTATATAAGCTTACTATTTTAAATACCCATCTTAACGGGACTCAGCAAAATGCCTTGTAGCCCTAAGTGACAGGATCAAACAGTTAAGAGCAGACAACATGGCAGCAGAGTATTGATCTCCCATGTACAAGAATCAGACTCTGGGGTGGATTTTAAAGACATTGCAAACTACAAAATAGGTGACTTGTGTCCCACAGATATTCTTTCACTCTTTTGAGTACAATAATGGCAAGAAAATGACATTTATAGGATGAAAAACTGGGGAGGACTTCGGGTTTCTTTGTTTCTATAAATGTTTTTGGGAGGATTGTGATAATGGACAATAAACAGAGTCATAATGGTTTCTCAAATCTGCTGAAGCCCACAATACAGTGTTAATTCACCAGAATATACACACAAAAGCACCAGTGAACTATGATTAATAAACCACTGCATACTCTACCTGTGTTACAGTCAACCTCATGTGATAATGCCCCTTCCCTCAAAAAGCAGTGTTTTAAACCATTGCCTCCATACCAAGCTTTCTTTCTTTCTATCAAACAGCTCAACAAATGGTGCTGTATTCTACAGCACAATCCCCAGGGGGAATTATCCAGTGCAATGAGCTCAGCTTTTTGACACACATCGAGATTAACTGTCAATACGCTTTTCAGTTAGCGAATTTAACCTTGGGGGTTAAGTAGAAGAGAAACAATTATGAGCAAATACTGATACAGAAGCAGTTCATTTTTGTTCCACAGTGAGTAGAGGAAGAACAGGACTTAATTCTTTATGTCCAAAACGTCCCCAGCTGAGAACATCAATTTGAAGAAAAGATTATGTGAGAAACGACTATCTTTTGGTCTGTAATGGATTCCCCCCCATCTCTCAAGCCAGGCTGACTCAGTGCAAACAACGGGGAAATAGCACAAGGGGAAAGAGCTTTTATTAGAACTTAAAAAAAAGAAAAGAAAATTTCTGCAGTAAAAAGGTCAACAAAATGTGCTCATTTATCTTTAGACAGTATTTTGATGGGTACTGTTTAATAATGGTGTGTACATATGTGCATACATTTATACATTCTATAAATGTACACATATATTATTCACATATACTGTCAGGGGTTGCTTTTGTATTATTCCTTCCCCACAAATCTGATCTGTGTTCATACTGGGGAAAATTCACCCTAAGGTGAAATTTTCACCTGAACAGGGACCAGCCCAAGACCACTTAAGAAGCTCTTGAGTTCAGTGGGCCTAATCATGTGAGTCAAGTTACTCTTATGTGTAAGTGTTTGAAAGACTGGGTCCTTAATATGAATGATAAAAATTATCAACAAAGGCTTTTGTATTTGAGGAGCTATGTGGTCCGGTCCATATCTTGAATTTTGAAAAAAGATACAATCAAGGATGAGAAAATATTACTGAGTTGTAGCCATTTATTGGACATGACCTTGCAAGGTGCAGAGCACCCTCGACTCCCATTAATGTCAATAAGAGCTGAGAGTGATCAGTACTTCTCAGAAGCACCTACCACTTCGTAGGATCAATACATAGTCCTATCCAACACCCCTTCAAGTCAGTGGAAAGACTGCCAATGACTTTAATGGGAGCTGGATCAGGTCAGGTAGCTATATTAAGATAAACAACTACCTTGCTTAAAAGAAAATGTATAGCCTGTACATTTTAATTTGTACAAGATAATCATTGAAGTAAACAGAAATACTGGATTGTGGCAATACATATTCTATTTACATTTTTTAAAAAGATTTCAGTAGGATGGAAATACAATTCTGAAATGACCACGATATTCTCTCTTATTACTACTGCAACATGAAGTATAAAACTGTTAAATGGATATCTTTTCAAATGTGGTAAATAATATATTTGTTCCTGAGCTGAAACCTTGTATTTCAAGTTGCATTGCAGAAGAAATGTTCATGACAAAAATATAAATAGAGGTTTGGGAAGAAGATGCTCACACAAAACTTTAACAGCAGCAATGCAAATAGTGGGCCCACATTTGAGTTACTGAGCACTATCAGTTTCCATGGACTTCAGCGGTAGGCAGGACATTTCACATCTCGCAGGACTGGATCAACAGTCTTGTACAGCTGAGCATACTCTTTGGGCCTGATCCTGCAAATACTTACACACGACTAACATTATTCACATCAGTGCTCCCACTGAACTCACATATTTTTGTCAATTATTTTAAAACCTTTAAATTTATTTTATATTAATTATAAATTCTTTAATACTGCAGTGCAAGCACAATTAGTTCAATTTGATGACTGACATGAATAAAGCTTTTTATAAACTCCAAATGATACCAAACTGTATTTGTGTTGTACAGCGTATGAGCCAAAAAACTAGTGGAAAAAGACTAGACCAATACAACATTTCTGTTTGAAAAAAATACTTTTGAATTTCCTACTAGTGTTAATGTTAAAGAGACACTGTCAACTAAAAATCACATATTGCACAGAAGCAAATTGTATTATTTGTTATAATAATGTCTCAAAATCAAATATATTTGTCACTACTTATGCCCTAGTTTTATCTTTTTTTTTTTTTTTCCAGTTTGGACAACGAAAAATCAGCTAAGCCTATTTTTCTTTTGTTTCCAGCCAGTTTCCCAGACAGGTTCTCAGTGCTGCAACATTTGGATTTTGAACGCTTCAGGGGAATATTTACATTCAAAAATATGGTTTTCTTTGGGTTATCTTAACTGGAGAAGCCTATTTTTATTAGTCTTAGGTTTTATAAAAGCTTACTATTAAATATAAAATTTAAAATTTGGCCCAAATTTAAAGTGATTATGTCCCTTTAAACCAACTGTGAATTCAGTTTTTTGTACATAGCTACAATGATATTAATCTTTTATTTAGAAAACAAACACTCTGTACAAGAATGTGTGCACTTGTATCACGACAATCACCACATATTAGCTCCTTTTTAAATGGCAACTTCCATCCTTTTGTTTTGACTTTTTAATTTCTGCATTGCAGATAGTTCTAGAACAGATACTAGGAGATGAGCACCATATACTTTGCAATTCCACATCATAATTAACTTATAGCTGTTGATAGTTTTTATAGTAATGCAAAATACATACAATTGCATTCTGATATAGTATCTAGTGGACCATACCTTACTGTGCTTACACAACAGTATTCTTCTATCTTCATATCCATATGATGGTTAAATATGTAAGGTTTTTAATACCTTACCTTAGAGCCCCAAGCATTTATTTCAGGAACAATCCTATATCTTTCCTGCTTGCCATTAAGGCTGGAACATTTGATGCCCTCCCATACCTATCCCTATGTCTACACTACCACTTATGTTGGTATAACTTATGTTGCTTTGGGGTGTGAATAATCCACCCTCCCCCTCCTCCCCCCCCCGAGTGACATACTCACTGCCGGTGTGGACAGTGCCTTGTTGGTGGGAGAGCTTCTCCCACTGACATAGCTACTGCCACTCATTGGGGGTGGATTAATTAAGTTGATGGGAGAGCTCTCTCCCATTGGCTTAGAGTGGCTACATATTTCATAGATAAAGTTTTATATCCATTTTTCAATTCTTTTTGTTTAGCCTCTTACTTTAAAAACATCTAAACAAATACCCTTACATGATGACACCATAAATACCTTCACCATCTGTTATAACATTGTTTGACACATATCTGACACGGTCCATGTAGATATTAAATCTAATACTCAGTGGGCAGAGCCTGTTCAGAATGCCTAACTGACTGAGATTATCCATCACCTCTCTCTCTGAAACTCCAACATCCAAAGAACTGACTCAAATTACATAGATTGTTAGCAAATACTTTCCCACAAAGGCACAAGGGAATGGGAAGAGCAAAAGCATGGCCTTGCTTCCACCTGCCCTTACTTACCTCCTTCTCATGCTCATGCATTAGGGTTAACCAGAACCTGTCTATAACTGTGACATAGTTTAGTTAGACCCAAAATTGACATTAAAGTCCATGCAATTCTTTCTTTAAAATTTTTTTGATTGTTCTAAACTACAGATAATAAAAATATAAATAATGATTTATTGTACTTTCTCTCTAAGTAAAACCAATGTCCACACATGAGTAACATGCTGGCTGGAAATCTGTGCAGTGAAAAATCTGTGTAATCCACAGATGGCATTGTTCCTCTCAGAAAATATTTTCCCCAAAGAATGCGCCAAATTTTGAAGAATTCTCACCAACAGCTACATATTCTTGTATACATTATAATAAACTAAAAGAGATTAATGATTTACTGGATGAGCCATCACTGGAAGTAACGAAAGTACATTATGTGCATTGACCAGTAAAGTATAGTGCATTACGAACTGTATTTAAACTCTGTAATCTGGTTTCTCTGATTATTTTTCTGATACAGAGTGTGGGACCAAGGTTAGGGGCTTTACAAAGATGCTATCCCAGGTATATTTTTATGGATGTCTTCTTGCATTGCTTTTCATAA